CCTAACACTTTTTTTACTTTATATACTATTATTTTAGCTGTAATATGCAGAAAATGTCTAATTTATTAAAACAAAGTGGAATAAATTATATCTCATATCAGGATCCCATGTGGTGGCAGCAGAGGATTATATATATGTTTCACCTTAAAAGACAATTTAAATCTGGACACTCAGTTCTAGTTATATTGTATTATAACTCTGCAAATGTATATGCTGTAGTTTTACAGCCATAGTCAAAAGGCAAATTAGTGATCATGTTTTTGTGTTTTTGTTTGTGAACAAATTATTTCATGAACCTTTGACAGGATTTGAATGAAACTCAAAAATTATTAACCTGCATCCATTTACATTTTAAAGGTGGGGTATTATGCAAAATCAACTTTTTGTGAGCTTCATATCATTTTATGTCATTCCCACATCAAAAGCTTACAGGAAGTGTTGTTTTCACTCATTCATACATGTTTGAAAAATCCATGAATCTCCTGTATGTGGAGCTGCCTAAACGCTTGCTGGTACAAAGCCGCACCTATTTGTACATAGCTCCTCCCTAGAGCTCAGTCTGCAGCCGAGCTCCCGCCCCACAGACCACCCCTTACCCAAGCATTGTTTGAAACTGTGCTGAAGTGGGACTGTCAGAAACAGTAGGAGGTCATTATTGCTGCAGTTGATCTGTATTACAGATTTTTAGTGTTGCAGGCACAGTTCTATAATTTGGTTTGTATGCAGGTCAAAAGAACATCAAAACAAATTTGCAGTTGTATCTACATTAATATCACAGTTGTCATATCAGAACCTGCCTGCAAACACTACTGATAATACTGATGCTATAAAATTATAGCTTCCTGTATACCAGAGAGCTGGGGGGTCAGTAAAGTCCAGCTATCTATAAATATGATCAATTTTAGTAACAAACTTTCCTAAATATAAGGAAGAGGAAAAACTCTGTAGTTTATAGCTAAATACTGGAGTGCATGTTAAATAAGAAAAATATACATTAGATCAAAGGTATTACCATACCATACCATACCATATACCATACCATACTATACCATACCAGACCATGCCATGCCATACCATACCATACCATACCATATACCATACCATACTATACCATACCAGACCATGCCATGCCATACCATACCATACCATACCAAACCATAACATACCATACCATAC